GCAGACCTCTCCTGCCGCCCGCTGCTCCCCTCAGCAGTGTACTTCGGTCCTTCTGCCTGCTCTGCTCCCCGCTCTGGCTCTGGTGATTCCTCTCCCCCTCCCGCGCTTTTGGCTGTACCCAGTGCTTGTATAAACAAAACAAACAAACAAACCAGCAAACAAATAAATAAAGCATGCCTCTATTAAAAAAAAAAAAAAGAACTGGGGTACAGACCAGACGCGTGGGAGAGTGAGAGGATTCACCAGAGACAGAGTGGGGACAGAACAGGCAGATTGAGTGAAATACACTGCTGAGGGGAGCAGCAGGGAGACAGGAGAGGTCTGCGCTGTGCCATGTGGGATTCTCGCCTTCTGGCCGGGATTGAACCTGCTCTGCAGAGGCTGCGGACAGCTTCACAGCGCTGCGCTCAACTGCCTGCACCGCCAGGGGAGGCCCCAGTTAAAACGTTTTCACTTGGAGATCTCGCCACATCAATTTGTAGGGAGAGTTCTTTTTTTTTTTCTTTTCAGTTTTATTGTGTTGCACAGCTCTATAATTCATTTAACCTGATAGACACCTGTGTGGTTGCAGGGGTTTTTTTTTTCCCTAGAAAAATCAATACTGCATCCAATAACCTTGTGTATGTACCATTTTACAAGTGTGTGAGCGTAGCTGTAAAAATTGGGTTGGCAGGGTCCAAGATGTCTACATTTATAGTTTTGAGTGTCCACATCACCTTCAGGGGGTAATGCCAATGGAGACACCCACTTGTGACGGGTGAGCCTTTCTAGTTCCTCGCCAACTGTGTTTATTCAACTTTTGGATTTTTTCCAATCTCGAAAATGGAAAGTGGTATTTCAGTGTAATTTTCACTTGCACTTACCTTCATAAGACTGCAGTGGATGCTTAGTTTTTCAATGTCTTGCTAATTGCAAGGGTTTCATAATATCTCAAAGCATGAAATAGGCCACGTGCATAGCTGCTGTGTTTTCCATGAGAAAGCAGATACTTGTACGTGTTTAGATTCTGATCCACTGGAGTTGCATCAAATGTGTGTTTATGTGACTTCTTTGAATCCTATTCTATGCCCAGAAAATAGGAAAACCAAGAGTTGAAATTGTATTGTCATGAGATGAAAATGAACCATCAGAGTGTGTCCTGCACTTTTTTTTTTTTTTTTTTTTTTTTAATTTTCTAGAGGCATGTCTTATTTATTTATCTATTTGTTTGTTTGTTTGTTTGGTTTATACATGCACTGGGTACAGTCAGAAGCCGGGAGGGTGAGAGAATTCACCAGAGCCAGAGCAGGGAGCAGAACAGGCAGAAGGACCGAAGTACACTGCTGAGGGGAGCAGCGGGAGGCAGGAGAGGTCTGCGCGCCATGTGGGACCCTCCTCCAGTGGCCGGGGAGCAGCCGGGGATCGAACCGGCGCCGCAGAGGCCGCAGGCAGCTTCGCAACCCAGCGCTCAACCGCTGCGCCACCTGGGAGGCCCGTGTCCTGCACTTTTGCTTGGAGATCTCATCATAAGACAGACGTTCAGTTAGGGGTCTGGTAACCACGCAGGGTTGTCCACACAAAACCACAAACACTGTGTTTTATAGCAATGGGTCATTTTGACTGCCCTTGCTTTTTGAATCACATATTGACTTAGGAACTCAATTTCCTGCTCAAGAGTAGTCCATTGTCCTGAATCAAAGCGTCTGTTTCCCTTCATTCTTGCACGGTAAGTTGAGACAGCATGCTATGCTCTTTGCCTTACACCGCCTAATGCTGAGGAATTACCAGTGTATTTGTGTGGAGCGAGCTGACCCTGGGTATCGGGTCTGGCCTCTTGAGGCTTCGGGAAAGGCGGGTGTGGGAAACCCTTTTGTGGTGCATGTCTCACCGTAGTTCTTTGGCCTTGACCTCAGAGTCCCTGCAAAAGGTGTGTATCTGGGGAGTCGTGTTTGCCCCAAAGCCATCAAGACTGCTTGGCCACAGCCGAGTGGGCCTCTGAAGGCTTCTCAAATGAGTAAATGGAAGGTTTTCCTTGAATATCATCATTTGTCCTTTGAGGCCACCAAGGGATGGCCACCGCGGGGTCTGCTGACTCGCTCCTCCCCTGCGTTCTCATGCAGCCTTGATTTTCCCATCGGTTTTCCTTTCTTTTTCATGCCAAGACGACCATCTCAGTTTCTAGTTTTGCTCACTGTCACCGACTCTGGGCCCTTGACTGGGTTTCTGATTTCACTGGTCTGGGCTGGGCCTCTGGTGTCTGGCATTTAAAAAACTTCCAGGTGATTCTAACGTGCAGCAGGGTTAAAGTGTTTATTTATTTATGTATTTTGTGGTGTGACCTCAGCCAACCAGGCACGAGAGGAATCTTGCAGGAGAGGCTACTGGGCAGATTCCTCTCTCTCAGCAGGTCTCCCTGTATATACCGCACATGCCCATATTTTCCTATATATGCACGAGCCACTCTGGAAGATTCCCGAGAAAGAGGGAGTGACAGGGGCTGCTTTGTGGAGTGAAGACTGGGACAGAGGAGCTGACGGGAGAAGCTAGCCTCCAGGAATGCCAGTGTCCAGGCCAAGGGTATTGTCCCAGATGCCTCCAACCCTTGGGGTGCCTGAAGGGTGTTAGTTTGAGGCCACTTGCCCCATCTTCACATTGATCCCCTCCCTTTCTCCTGCTCCTCCTCCCTGCCCTGCCTCACTTCTCTGCTCTATGAGACGTGGGCCTTGTTCTCTGGAAGCAGAACCAGAGATGGGTTCTTGTTTAATTGATTAATCAAGGACCCCGAAGGCTAATTATTATGTAGCCATTTCTCCTCAGCCTTCCCCAGACTTGTTATTATTATTTTTTCTTTCTTTTTTAAATTCTAGCCATTCTAATGTGTGTGAAGCAGTCTTTTATTGTGGTTTTATTTATATGTTCCTGGCGACAAATGATATCAAGTTCCTTTTTATTGTGTTTATTGCCCATTGCACATCTTCTGAGGAGAAATGTCCTCTCCAGTGTTTTGTTTTTTAAATAAATATTATGTGTTTCTTTTCTTGTGTGTGTGTGTGTGTGTATATGTGTGTGTGTGTGTCAAAGAACTGGGGTGCAGGCCAGAGGTGTGAGGGGGGAATGAGAGGATTCACCAGAGACAGGTGGGGAACAGAACAGGCAGATCTACTGAAATCCACTGCTGAGGGGAGCAGCTGGCGGGCCAGGAGAGGTCTGCTGCGCCATGTGGGTAGCTCCCTAGCTGGCGGGAGATCGAACTCATGCTGCAGAGGCTGAGGATAGGTTGATAGTGCTGTGCTTAACCCTTTGTGCCACCAGGGAGGCCTAATTTACTTTAGTGTCTCACTGACTCGGGCTAGAGAAGCTCCTCTAAGATCAGCATCCCAAACTGGCCTGAGATGATTACTGCAGTGTCCCAAGTTTTCTTACTCCCCCCTGGGATCAGAACCTAACTCCAACTAAGCCCACAGCCTGACTCACAGCAGCGTACTGGAGTGGTTGCTGGGCTTCATTAGGGATCATTGTGGCTTCCTGCTTGCTTCAGTCCTTGGGGGCATCTGAAAAGGATTCAGCCTGCCTTTCACCACTTGTGAATCCTTGGGGACTTTGCAAGAGAAGCAAGCACTTCTTAGATCAATATTTGTAAGGCTTATCTAATGCAAGCCTCTGCCTGGGGCCAGAGGATGGACTTTTCCTCCCGTGTCTCTCTCCAGGATGGGTATGAACCTGAACCCTTGTAATGAACTGCTTGCATTGCCTCCACCACACCCCTGGGGATTTTTCCTTAATCACACCTATTCCATTAAATTTGAGTACCACAGATCAAGTATATTTATGTGCTCAAAGTCTACTGTATTTTATACATAAAAAGAACAAAATCTTTGCCCCCCTTGGGGGCAGGATGGCTCCCACTGAAAGGGCATGCTTCACTGGTGCACACCGGACCCCCTGGCAGCCTCCACCCCTTGCCAGCAGGAAGGAGGCCTTCTAGCTGGTGCGACCAGGAGAATGTGAGCTGATACACGCACATGGTTGAGCAAGGCAGGGGGTGCATGCTGTGAGCCAGTGGAAGGCAAGCCCTGGCCATTATTATTTTCGCTTGGTGGCAGCGATGTCAGTCACCTCTCTCAGGCTGCAGAGTCCCATAGAGCCCGAGGGCTGGCTTGAGGTCTAGGTCATTCCCAGCCTAAGTCATTCCCAGGTCTAAGTCATTCCCAGGCTTGAGGGCTCCATGAGGGCTGAGACGGACTGGGTGCCCAGCGACCAGTACAGGAGACCCCCAGAAGCTGCAGTCTGGTGGTGCCAGGCAGGAACCCACCCAGTGGGGTCACTACTTCCCATTTCCCAGGAGAAGTAGGGAGGCTGGAATGCTGGTTAAGTCTGATTTTTAAGCATTGACTGTTAAACAGCATTAATAGCATGTGGATCAAGCACGAAGAGGAGCTACCCTGACTTGTCCAGAATGAGAGGCAAAGCTGGGATTCCCAGCCAACTTCTGGGAACCCGGTGCTTTCCACACTTCCCACCCACCGGCCCTGCTCTGGTCTCACCGCGACGCCCCACTTCACCCCTTTAGTGCCTGGGGAGAGGCCCCAGGCTGGGAACCTCTGGGTTTGGGTCTAATGCATCCAGCCCCCCTCCCCACTGGTCACCCCTTTTCCAGAGGGCATGGACTCCCTAGATGAGGCAGCTGCGGGCGCCGGGGACCCGAGGCTGGAGGCGCCGGGAGGAGGGGGTGTCTGGGCTCCGTGGGAGGGCGGGCCTGGCCTCGCCCAGCCTCACCCCCTCCCCGCCCCCCGCCCCCCTGCGGACCTCAGGATCTCGGGAAGAAACAGCCCGTTGTTCGCACCCGCCCCTCTGACCCGCCGCCCGGGGCATTGTTTTCTATTCGCCCGGGTCGCGGGTGGGAGGCGAGGAACGCCGGGGTTCGGGAGCCTGGCCGTGCGCCAGGCCAGTGGCCTTCGGCCCCGGGACACTGGGGCGGCCGCGCCTGGGAGGCGGGAGGGAGACGCCTGGGTCCGGGCTGCAGCTCGGCCATGGGCTCCCGGAGTTCCCACGCCGCGAGGATCCCCGACGTGGAGGCCATCAGGCGCGAGACGGGCTGTGAGCGGCGCGGGGGGCGCGGGGGGCTGCAGGCTTGTGGGGGCCGGGAAGGGGCAAACCCGCGTCCCATGGCTGGGCTCGAGGGGGTTCAGCGCAGGGACTCTGGTTGGGGTTCCCGGGGTACGGGGCTAGGCTGGAATCGCAGGACTAGGGACCTTGTTAATCTAGGGGTTCCGGCGTCCAGGTTGGAGGAAGGTCTGGGTTCCCCGGGTTGGGGGCGCCCGGGTGTCCTCGAACCCGGACCCGCGCGGGCGGAGGGTGCAGGAAGTTGCCTTTGGTTTCTTGGTTTCCGCGAGGGGAGCCCCCCCCGCCCCCCCGCGAGCTTTCCTGGGCTTTTCAAGCCCCCTCCAATGTCGCCAGCTCGATCCCGGGTGCAAGTCCCTCAACATCCCGGGCCCCTCCGGCCGCGGGGGGCTGTTCCTGGCGCGCGCGCCTCAGCCCCTAGAGCCCAGCGCGGGGCGAGCGTCCCCCGGCCTCACCCTGGGCCCCTCCCTCCCTCCCAGTCTCCCAGGCCTGCCTGACCCGCCTCTACCACCGCTTCTGCGCGCTGGACGGCAACAAGAAGGGCTACCTGAGGTGAGGCGCCGCTCGCCACCTCCCCGCGCGCCCTGGCCCGGCCCTGCCGCGCGCTCTGACTGCCCAGCCCCTTCTCTGCGCTTTGACTTTGCAGCCGAGTGGATCTGCAGCAGATCGGGGCGCTGGCCGTCAACCCCCTGGGAGACCGCATTATAGACAGCTTCTTCCCCGAGGGGTGAGGCCTCGCGGGTGGGGAGACCGAGGGAAAAGCTTGTATGGGAGGTTAGGGATGGAGGCGGTTGGAGGGCCAAGGTGACCGCTGCCCGATCCCTCCCCCCCACGCCCCAATTCCCCTCTCCCACCTCCTCCAGGAGTCTGAAGGTGGATTTCATAGACTTCGTCAGGGTCCTGGCTCATTTTCGACCTGTAGATGATGAGGACAGAAGCCGGGACCCCAGAGAACCTGAACCCCTCAATAGCAGAATGAACAAACTTCGCTGTGAGTTTGTGGGAACCCCCACGCAAGTAAGACCTCAGATTAACCGCCCCAGTGCGAGGCCCCAGACACCTCCCACTCTTGCAGGGAACCTGTAAATGGCCTCCCCCACTCTCCAGGGCGACCTTCTGGGAGAGAACCAGGGAAGTCCAAACTTCCTTCCTCACCCCGCCCCTCTCTTCCCAGTTGCATTTCAACTCTACGACCTGGACAGAGACGGGAAGATCTCCAGGCAGGAGATGCTGCAGGTTGTAAAAATGCAAAAGCAAAAGATGACTCTGGAGGGTAGCTGGTTGAATGGGGGGGTGGTGAGGGATGCGGTGGATGTTAATGGATGGGGTGGGGGGCACAGATATGGGGATATGGTTAACCTGAGAACCTGAAAAATGTTGGGGTATAGGTTAACTTGGAAATGGGGTGGGGTGCAGTTGGGCATGAGATTGAGAAGAGATCAGTAGTTCTCAACTGGGGGACAGTTTTGCCCCCTGAATGATGTTGGCAATACACAGAGACATTTTTGATGGTCCCAGATGGGAGGTGGTGCTATGGCATCTGGTGAGAGAGGGCAGGAAAGTTGCCGTGTCCATCCACGACAAGGGGTGGTCGGGCCCCAGTGTCAGAGAAGACTCTGGAGTAGATGTTGTGAAGTGGGGGATGGATTTGGGAATAGTTGGAGGATGAGGTGGGGAAGGTCGTGGAGGGAAGATGGGCCTGGGTTAGAAGTTTGGGGTCGTGTGATGGATTTGCTGATATTGCTGAGGTGAATGTGGGCTAGGGAGAACAGTGGCAGACATTATTGGGAGACAGAGTGGGAAGTGATTGGATTTGTTGAAAGTGGAGGAAGGATGGGTTATAAAATTGGTAATGACTTCTAGGGTCACTGGGCAAGGCCTGAGGAATGGTGCTGGTAGTCTCTGCGACTCCGCCTTGTGCCTGCCTCTTCCCCTGCCACCCAGGTGCTCCGGCTGATGGTTGGAGTTCAGGTCACAGAGGAGCAGTTGGAGAGCATTACGGACCGCACAGTGCAAGAGGCTGATGAAGATGGGGATGGGGCCGTGTCCTTCCTGGAGTTTGCCAAGGTCAGAATGCCCTTGGGGAGTTGAATCAGGAGTCCCTAGGACAGATGTCCTGGGAAGTGAAGCTTGAGGGAGGAAGGAGGGAAGAGAGGGGTTCCCAGGGAATGAGGGTACCTTGGGGACAGGAGAGGGGGGTGGAGCCTAGGACTGGGATTCAGGGCTCTTGACTATCACCCATCTCCCCCCAGTCCTTAGAGAAGATGAACATAGAACAGAAAATGAGCATCCGTATCCTGAAGTGACCCTCCTGTGCCTTCCGCTGCCATATGCAGACCAGACCTTGGGATTCATCCTCAGCCCCCATGGAGGCAGGACCCCAATAAACTGTACTTTAAAAAATCCCTTTCATGCCTTTATTTTTTCTCTCTTTATTCTTTTTTTAATTGATGTTTTATTGGCTTATAACATTCTAGGTATTTCGGTTGTACAGCATTATGATTCATACGTCAGCAGTATGTATATACTACACCATGAGCAACTGCCTTTTTAGTTTTATGTTGAACTCTATACAGATCCAAGGAGTGAAAACTGGAATGTTACGTAGTAGAGTCTGCCTCATTTGATCTCACATCTGTGAATCAGCCAGCGATCTTTTGCTTACAAGTAACTGAAAACCCAACTCAACATGAGTTAAGTAAAACAACAACAACAAAAGAGGGAGGGGGATTTTTATGGCAGATGGTGTTATTTTGTTAAGATTTATTTATTTATGCATACAAGAACTGGGGTACAGGTCAGAGGTTTGAGGGATGAGAGAATTCACCAGAGACAGAGCCGGGAGCAGAACAGGCAGACTGACAAAATACACTGCTGAGGGGAGCAGCGGGCAAGACGGGAGAGGTCTGCCCCGCCATGTGGGTAGCTCCCTGGCCGGGGATCGAATTCGTGCTGCAGTGGCTGCGGATTGCTTCATAGTGCTGTGCTTAACCCCTTGTACCACCAGGGAGGCCCATGGATGTTATTAAAAAGTCAGGAAGTTGGGCCTCCCCTGGTGGCACAGCGGGTTGAGTGCAGTGCTGTGAATCTGTCCGCAGCCTCTGCAGTACCGGTTCAATCCCGGCTGGCCAACAAGAGTCCCGCATGGCACAGCAGACCTCTCCTGTCTCGCCTGCTGCTCCCCTTAGCAGTGTATTTGATCAGTCTGCCTGTTCTGGTCTCCGCTCTGTCTCTGGTGAATCCTCTCACCCTCCCACGAATCTGGCCTGTACCCCAGTTCTTGTATAAATAAATAAATCTTAAAAAGTCAGGAAGTTTCTGTTACCAGGTACAGCTGGATCCTGGGATTCAAATGATGCTCTCAGGACTCAGTTATTCTCTATGCTTCAGCTCAGCTTTCTTTTTCGGTTGGTTCATTCTTAGGAGGGCTGTTCCCACCAGCAGCTCTAGGCTTCCATCCTCCAAGCCTGATAATCCAATGAGAAGAATTTTATTTTTCAATAATTCCGAGCAAAGAGGATCACTGACCTGAATGGGGTCTTGCCCTTTTCTGCAGGGGGAATGGAATGTTCTAACTGGCCAGACCTGGATCCTGTGTTAACTGGTGTAAGGTCTAAGGAGGAAATAAGGTCTAAGGAGAAGAGAGGGCATAAGGAAGGTCGGCTAAAGGAGAATGAAGTGCTATTATCAGAAGAAATGGGAGTGATGCTTGTCAGGCAAAGCAGAGGTGACCGTCATGTCAGGTGGACCAAATGGAGGGTCTCTGGAAGTCTCACTCTTCAAAGGGCCTCACTGGCATGCCAGGGTGCTGGGAGCAGAGTGGGTGAGAGGTGATATTAAAGGTAATAAGCAAGACACACCTTCCTAGAGTATGAAATCATTCAACAATTTGGAGAGCAATTTCTCTTTTTTTATGGTATATTGTTCAAACATTGACATACCATATAATAGAGTGTAAAAGTCACAAGACAATAAGACTGTCTGTGATGGGGGGAGAGAGAGAGAGACCTTTTTTACAGCAGGCCTTTTCCCCATTTATAGCACTTCTCAAATTTGACAACTTAATCAGATGGTAAATATCATTGGTTTAAAAAGTTCAGACATTTGGGCCCCATGTCAGGGCTACCAAATCTCCAGGGAGGTCTATATTTTTAATAAGTAACTTCGATGTTGGAAAGCCAAGGACCACACTTCTATAAACACTGACCTGCAGCTCTGGCCAGGCCCCTGAAATCCCCTCTTTCCCCCACTCCCCCACCCCCCCCACCCCCGCCACATCTCTCAAGCAGAGCAGGAACCTTGCCCGCAGGCTCTTGGTAGAGTCTCCTATCTATTCCTACCCAGTCCAGCTCTGTGCCAATGACTAGTATTCCCAACCTGACAAAGTTTACTGGACGACCTGGGGAGTCCTAAAACTCCATTGCTGTATGGCGAACGGGAGAGCTAACTGGCCCCTGATGGGCTTGAGTTTGGGGCATCAGAGACCTTCGTCATGCAGCAGGGAGGGGCATCCGTCTGGCTGAGGTGGCTGGTTGAACCTCACCCCTTTGATTTCAACTCTGACAGAATTCCCCGCAGGTCTGTTCCTGGCGGGAGGAGAGAGGCTGATGCACCAATGGAGAGCCCCTGTGCTGGGAGCAGCAGTTGCCAAATTTCAGTGGTTTGTTTACCATCCTTGTTATTGTTGCCACACAGCACCTCACCTCCGATCTGTGCCAGTGTTTACTCATTATTTGTCTATAAATGGGCTCATTTAAATGGGATGTGTTTGCGTTTACCTAAGAAACTGAATAGCACTCCTATAACTTAGAAACCAGCACCGCTTGTTGTAAATAAAATAATTATGCAAATACAATACCTACCACAAATGTCAAAAAAGGAGATTATTAGCATTAGAGTCACAGAATAGTAAAGACAAACTTGCCCCAAACAGAGCTTCTCTTTGGTGATCGTAGGAGGCCAAACAAATCCAAAAAGCGACAACGTTTCATGGTGTGAGTCAGTGTTATTTAAAACTGTGGGGTTACTACTGAAAATCATCTTGTGTACCTGAGAGGTGGGTTTTCCAATCTTTGGGACTCACTGGCTAGGGGGAATTCTGAGACAACCATGTTGTGTGGAACCTGCCTCCTGATGGGGCCATTTTGGAGGCAGCCATCAGAGGACCTCAGATTGGTTGCTGGTCAGATTGGGTTTGGTAGAGGCTGATCATCAAAATGGAGCCAACTCACCCTGGCAGGTTTGGACACAAGATTCAGGGCATTATGACAGATACTTTCTTTTTTTTTTTTTTTTTATATAGAGGCATGTTTATTTTTATTTACTTATTTATTTGTTTGTTTGTTTTGTTTATACATGCACTGGGTACAGTCAGAAGCGCGGGAGGGTGAGAGAATTCACCAGAGCCAGAGCGGGGAGCAGAGCAGGCAGGAGGACCGAAGTACACTGCTGAGGGGAGCAGCGGACGGCAGGAGAGGTCTGCGCGCCATGCGGGACCCTCCTCCGGTGGCCGGGGAGCAGCCGGGGATCGAACCGGCGCTGCAGAGGCTGCGGGCAGCTTCGCAACCCAGCGCTCAACCGCTGTGCCACCGGGGAGGCCCATGACAGATACTTTCTTGTAGAACAGGAAACGTCAAAAGCAATAACCCTCTGCTGATGCTTATTTCCTGGCCTGGTATGACCATGAGCTTGGTGACAGGATCATGGATTTGCCCCACTGAGATCTCAAAGGAGGTCAGAGGCAGCTCTTAGAATCCTCACTTTAGAAGGGCCTTCCCAGAGAACTGTGGAATGGGCACTATAGCTGCCCCAACACCAGGGCTGTTGGGAAGGACATTAGCTGACCTAGAATTTTCTGGAAGAAACCAGCTGCATATCCTGAAGAGAAGATGAAAATTTCTTGCCAAAGTGGCTGAACCTGAGGTGGTGTGTGTGTAGGGAGCCCAGGGAACAGAAGCAGGTAGAAGGACCTTAGTAGTGATGTTGGGTAGACCTCATTATGGCTACCATTGCCACTTCCTAACTAATTTGGAAAATAGTTAAGAATTCTGAGCTTGACACCCAAATAGAAGGAAACTCGAGGTTGTCCTCAGCTCTACCCAACCAACACCAATAAAACTGATGCTTAAAAGGCAATATATAGACTTGATTCCTGGTATAGACCTACCCTGAAAATCAGTGTGGTTCAGCAAAAATAAGTGGAGTTGTGGAGTTCTTTTAGGCCTGATATTGAATCTGGACTCTTACTCACAGTACAACCTTGGGTAAGTAACTTGACCCTTCAATGTCTCAGCCTGTATTATCTGTGAAGGAGACAGATAACAGCAGCTACCTCAAAGAGCTGTTGTATCTTGTCCTTCCTCTATGTCTTTACCTCCCCCTCCCCTGTTATACTTTAGCTGAGAGTCCTCAGCCTCACCTGTGAACTAGGACTCTGGTCTGTATCAGTTTCACTGTTAACCACTTTATGAAAGAATAGGAATTTATTGGCGCACAAAACCATTAAAAGTCCAAAGATAGACCAGGCAAAGGAGCATTCCAAAGACTCAATAATGTCATTAGAAATTAGTCTTTTCGGGCCTCCCCGGTGGCACAGCGGTTGAGCGCTGGGTTGCGAGGCTGCCCGCGGCCTCTGCAGCGCCGGTTTGATCCCCAGCTGCTCCCCGGCCACCGGAGGAGGGTCCCACATGGTGCGCAGACCTCTCCTGCCGCCCGCTGCTCCCCTCAGCAGTGTACTTCGGTCCTTCTGCCTGCTCTGCTCCCTGCTCTGGCTCTGGTGAATTCTCTCACCATCCTGCGCTTCTGACTGTACCCAGTGCATGTATAAACAAACAAACAAACAAATAAATAAATAAAATATGCCTCTATTTAAAAAAAAAAGGAAAACAAAAACAAAAAAAAAGAAATTAGTCTTTTCATTTCTCAAATCTGCTTTCCTCCAAGTTGGTTTAATTCTTAAGCAGCTATCCCAAGAAAAAGAGAAACTCTCTTCCCCAACATTCTGCCAACAGTCTCAGGAGACTACTCTAATCCCACTCATTGTAGAGGGTAGATGTAACACTGATTGACAGACTTGGTCACATGTGCACTCCATGAACTGAGGGTTGTAGTCAGTCTTGCTTGAATCAAATGCAGAATGTGTGTGTGTGTGTGTGTTGCACATGCACACAGTATATTGATTCCCTAAGAGAAAGTCAGAATGCTATTACCAGAAGGGAGTTGTAAGCTGGGCAGGCAAAACCAACAGATAATTACATACAGGTTAGGTTGTTATTGGCTACAAATAACAGAATTACCAACTAACAATGGCTTAAACAATGAAGAAAATGAAGACAATCATCTCACATTATAAGGTGGTGGTAACAAGCTCTAGCGTAGCTGAGAGGTTCAAAAATTTTATTA